TGGTTTTGAACCTTTTTAACACATGTTTTGAGCCTATTATATCCATTTTTTATGACCCTTCACCTTGACCTACATTACAACCTTGAAAAGTCCATTTAGATCAAGTGTGAATACTCATTTTGAATGATCATATGTTGAGCGAAGGTATGCTCATGAGGAAGCAATGGAATCATGCTCTAAAGTTTGATGTATGAAAGATATCAACAATGGATGAAAAATGAAAAAAAGATGATGAAAAAAAAGAAAAAATAAAAGAAAAAAAAAAAAAAAGAAAAAATGAGAAAATGAAAAAAGGGAGATTCAAGTTGAAAACCTGAATAGGTGATTTTGGTAAAAAAAAAAAGATCCAGGTCAAATGGCTCACATGAATGGAAGATCAAAGACATCTGAAGATCCCTCAAAGACTGGGGCAAAGTTCGCCAAGCTCAAGATGACTTCAACAGTAAATGGAATGAGTTTTTGAAAAAGAATCCTAGATTAATGTTGAGAATTGTTTGAATATTCATCATTTGGACATACCATCCATCCCAATGACATTTCTTTTCCCATGTGTTCGGTACCAAAATAGATCTTCATTGATTATCTTTACCATAGTTCACCTTCTGTTCTCTTATTGTTACACCCTTAGAATGAATTGAGAAAATGCTTGATTGCATTGTATTTGTCCAGATTTAAAATGGTAATGAATGAATGAATATGTGCTTAAAAGAGTCTTTTATTCATTTGAAAAGAAATCTAAGATGATGGTGGTGACAAAATGGTAGAGACCTAAAAGAGATGATTTGGAAGGATATATGATGTGACCAAATGAAGAATATAATGGGGCAAATCTTAAAAAGTGATGAGTACAAGGATGAATTGGTCGATATGACTTGTAAGTTATGATTGAATGATGAGAACAATCAGTGGACAAAGTCTGTTTTGGAATGGTAAATGCTGAGACATCTATGAGTAATGACCTAGTGATGGTGGATGGAATTTGTTTTGAAATTTGTTAGTGCTGAAAAATTCATTGAATGATGGTCAAGTGATGATCAATTGATGAAGCTTATTCCAAAGTATTGAGAAACTGAACAAGGAAGAATGTGAGTGGAAAAGACAATTGAGAGCTACATTGGTTGGATCTTAGAAGAGCAGTGTAATTGGATCTCTGAAGAATCAAAGGGCTTGATGCCCAAGAAAAGCTTGAGAAACTTGAGTACCATACATTGAACAAGAATTAATTGGCCAACATTTTGCATAGCATGCATTGAAATTCATATGCATTTGCACAAGCATACATTACTTTCAGAAAAGTATAGTGTACAAATTCAAGAAGCAGGAGTGTTCCAACATCCCACATGGAGAAGATAGATGTGAAAATATTTTCCAAGTTTGAGAAGAAACTTGTCAGGTAAGTTCCTAATCCTTGAAATAGGATGTCTTTTGGTATCAGGATCGATTTATAAGACCTTTGGGCATAATCTCCTGAAATCCCTTCAAACACAATTCTCAACTCCTTTGGACATGATTGTCAATGAGCAATTTACTTTTCAAAGTCGTGGTGCCTCTGTTTAGAGGAGCAATTTACTTTCCAAAGTCATGGTGCCTCTGTTTAGAGGAGCAATTTACTTTCCAAAGTTTCGTTACCTCTGTTTAGAGGAGCAATTTACTTTCCAAAGTCGTGGTTCCTCTGTTTAGAGGTGCAATTTACTTTCAAAAGTCGTGGTGCCTCTGTTTAGAGGAGCAATTTATTTTCAAAAGTCGTGGTGCCTCTGTTTAGAGGAGCAATTTACTTTCTCAAAGTCGTTGAGCCTCTATTTAGAGGAGCTTGGGTCAAAAACAAAAAAAAAGTAGTAAAAAAAAAACACAAAAAAACAAAAAAAACAAACAAAAAATGACAATGTTGAGTTGAGTCTTGATTGGGTGTCTACATCTTTGCGCAATTTCTGTTTCACAGAAAATGTGCAAAGAGGGGCAGCTGTAGACACCCAATTGAGTCCAGGCCCAGACCAATTGGGCCTGGCCCAAATGGGTAAGCCCAATCCAATTTTTATCTTGTGTTATTTTTTTTTCTTTTTTCTTTTTGTATCTTATGTATTTTATTATTATTTATTATTATTATTATGTATTAATATATGTATATCTTTATTTATTTATTTTTTTCTGTTAATATTTATATGTATTGTATTTATATAGTTATATATTTATTATTATATTATAATTATTTTATTTTTTCTTTTTCTTGTAATTTTTTTTTGGTTTATCTTATTGTATTCCTAATTATCTGTTAATATTTTTTTTTCTTCTTCTTGATCCGTATCTGATTTTGTGATTATTATATCATTATTATTTTTTTTCTTTTCGTTTTTGAGGGTTGGGATTGAAAGTTGAAAAATCCCATTGTGAATGGGAATTCAATCAGAAGAGTCCAATTGGATTCAAAGATTGAATCCCCGTCCAATGAGGAATTGGGATTGATCAGGAACTCCTGATCAACCCCTATAAAAGGCACCCCCTGGAACAGATGAAAACACACAGAGAAAACAGTGAGCAAAGCTACTGAATTTGAGAGAAAAGAGGTGTATAGAAGAGTTTTCGAAGGCTAAAGAAGGTTGAGAAGTATTAGGATAGCTGTAGGGATCGAAAATAATTTTTTAGAAATTTTTGGCGAAAAATTTTTCTGGAAATTTCTGAGAAATTTCCAGATTCCGGTGAATTTTTCGACAACGGTTGAATTTTTCGGCTAAAATTCTGGCCAAATTTGAAGTTTCCGACGAGCTACCCAGTTTTCGGTAAAGGATCCTAGAAACCGGTGATCTTTCGGCCAACTTCCGACGAACCTCCGGCAAAATTTCCAGATTCCGGTGACGTTTTCCAGAATCCAGCGAAAATTTCATCGGTGTTCTTCAGCTTTTAGAGAGAAGGGAGAGAAAAAGGAAAGAAGAGAGAGAGGGGAGGAGCGGTCTGCCGAAAAACAGAGGGAAGTGCCTTTTATACCTACTCAAAACGACGTCGTTTTGGCCTTAAGTAACCCAGAGGATCTGCGCGTTTTGCCGAGACCCGACCCGACCTGAGCGTCGACCCGCTTCCTGACCCGCACGTGCCTGCCTCCCTCCGAGCCGAGCGGAGCCGCGATCCGAGCCGCTCCAGGTTTTTTTTTTATTTTTTTATTTTCATTTATTTTTTTATTTGATTTTTTTTATTTCTTTATTTATTAGATTAGGTTTATTTAATATTCTTTTTATCTTTATTTTATTTTTATTTTTGTTTTACTTTTCTTTATTTTTTATTTTTATTTATTTTCACTTTTATTTTTTTATTATTCTATTTTCTTTAAATAAAAATCAAAATTTCCAAAAAAAAATATTTTTAGGAAAAAGTTGAAAGTATCAATTTTCCTTAAAAATAAATTTCAAAAAAAAAAAGGGATTTTTGAGGAAAAGTTGAAAGTATCAATTTTCCTTGGAAATCAAAATTTCAAAAAAATATATTTTTGAGGAAAAGTTGAAAGTATCAATTTTCCTTGGAAATCAAAGTTTCAAAAAAAATATTTTTGGGAAAAAGTTGAAAGTATCAATTTTTCTTAAAAATAAATTTTCAAAAAAAGGATTTTTGAGGAAAATTTGAAAGTATCAATTTTCCTTGGAAATCCAAGTTTCAAAAAAATATTTTTAAGGAAAAGTTGAAAGTATCAATTTTCCTTAAAAATAAATTTCCAAAAAATATTTTTGGGGAAAAGTTGAAAGTATCAATTTTTCCTACACAAGAACTATCATCCTTTCCTTCCTTTTTATTTTGATTTTGATTTTGATTTTTCTTTAACTAATCCAATGATGGAGTCTCTGCAAGTGAAACAGTAGTTTTTCTTGCATACTCTTGAGGTGAGGGGAATTTTCTCAATTTTCTGCTAAAAGTATTAGAGTCAATTGAGAATAATTTCCAATAATTAATTATTTGGTAAAATTTTAAGGCTTTTGGATAACACAAATTTAAGCTGGTACCATCTGTTGATGGGCGTTGTGAGGGTGCTATAACCTTCCTCACACGTAATCGAACTCCTAAACCCTGTTCTGGTTAGTAGACCTGAACCTATTCTTTTAGGGACCCTTAAACTTAGGTGTTCTCTGAAAGGACAGATTCCTTAGGTGGCCAATCGTACCTAGATAAAAAAGATTGGTGGTGACTCTCTTAAGTCAATGTCTAGCGATAGATCCCCGGATCTAGACGTTATGACAACATTTATTGCATACAAAAATTTAAGTCACTTGAAAAACAAATTGTGAATCTTTTGATAAGAATTTTTGAGTTCCCAAATGGGAGTCTTTGAACTTAAATGAGAATTTTCAAGGTGTGAAACCCTAAAGTTTGTCGAATATGAATCTTTAAACTAGAATGAAAGGTTTTGAACTTTTGGATGTGAATCATCAAAATTCAAACGAAAAGCTTTGAACTCAATCTTTGGATATGAATCTTTAAGTTTTTGAATGAGAACCTTTGAACTTAGATGTGAAACTTTATGGTATGTGAGCCTTTGACCTTGAACGAAAAGCTTTGAACTTTTGGATGTGAATCTCCAAAATTCAAATGAAACTCTTTGAATACGGATGCAAGTCTTGCAATTTGCAAATACGAATCTTGAAATCTTGCAAATCAAATTCTTGTGAAATTGAAATTTTAAGAATCAAATTTCAGTGAATTTTTTACAAAGTTGAAAGGTTTTTGCGAATCTGAACCTTTGATTTTCGAACTCAAATTATGAATCTTTGAGTTCCCATTACAAATTTCATCAGATCTGATCTACAACTCTGCTGGACATGATTGTCAAGGAGTCATTTATTTTCACAAAGTTTGTTGCCTTTATTCAGAGGAGCCATTTATTTTGTCAAAGTTCATTGCCTCTATTCAGAGGAGCCATTTATTTTTTCAAAGTTCAGTTGCCTCTATTCAGAGGAGCAATTTATTTTTCCAAAGATGTTTCGCCTCTGTTTAGAAGAGCTTTGTTTACTAAAAAAAAAAGCATGAATTTGTTGAGATGGACACACGCAAGGTGTCTATGTCTTTGCGCAATTCTTGTTGCACAAGAAAGTGCAAAGAGGGGTAGCTATAGACACCATAATTTTCCCGAGCCCAGGCCCATTGGGCCTGGTTCAACAAGAGCTGGGGTCTAAGTCCATTGGGCTTAGCTTAGATCGGATCTAAATAGGGGCAAAATGGCCCAATTTTAGTTTTTTTATTATTTTTGGTTTTTTATTTTATTTTATTTTCTTATTTTTGGTTTTTTTTTGGTTTCTTAGTCCGAAATTGGGTTTTAATTTCTATTTTCCTTTTAGAAGGTGAAGTGGTAGGATTGGACTGGGATTCAAGGATTGAATCCTAGTCAAATAAAGAATAGGAATTGATCAGAAATCTTTCTGATCAATGCCTATAAATATAGGCTTAAATAGGACCAAATAACACACGAAAAGAAAAAAACAGAGGCAAAATACTCAAAGGGGGTTAGTAACGATCGTAGAAGCAGTTTAGAATTTTTTTTCGAATTTTTTTGGTCTTTTTTCTAGAAAATTTCTGGAAATTTTCCAAAATCAGATCAATTTTTCGATGACTTTTCTGGCGAAACTTAAATTTTCTAGCAAGTTTTTCCATATTCAGACATGATTTTTCAGAATCCGACAAAACTTCAACTGGATTCTAGGTTTTGATAAAGAGAGGGAGAGAAAAGAGGGGAAGAGAGAGAGAAGGAAAGAAGAATTTTGAAGGAAAAGACTGGACTTAGGCTTTTATACCAAGGCAAAACGATGCCGTTTTAGCGTTAGTAAGTTCCTAGGATCCGTGCATTTCTGTCTGGGTTAACTCGACTCGATCGTGACCCGATTCACTAAACCCCATGCCAATCAATCTCTGTAGCTGAGCCCAGCCGAGCCGCGCATTCCCAAGTCATGTTTTTGAGCCGTTTTTCTTTCTAGAGCCGAGCCGTTTTCATTTTTTTGGTATTTTTAATTTTAATTTTTTTAAATTATTATTTTTTTGTGTTTGTTTATTTTAGGAGTATTTTTGCATGATTTAATTTAATAAGAATAAAAATAAAGAAGGTAAAATAAATATAAAAATAATATTTTGAAAATAAATATTATTTATCCAATAATGGAATTTATAGAAATTTTAAATGATAAATTTCAATAAAATTCCTAGGTGAGAAATTTTGTCCAAATTTATCCCAAATAGTGGAATAATTTAGATAAAATTTTAATAACAATAATTAATATTTATTTTCCAGCAAAAAAAAGTAAAAAATGAAAAATATAAAAATGTAAACTTTTTTTTGAATTAAATACAAATTACTCAATGATGAGATTCTTAAAAATTTCAAATGGTAAATTTTCTAAGAATTCTTTAGGTGAGAAATTCTATCTAAATTTGGCCCAAATGGTAGAATAATTTAGATGAAATTTCAATAAAAGTAATTGTATTCTTTTCCAAATAAAGTTTTGGTTGAAAAAATGTGATAATTATCCAACGATGAGATTCTTAGAAATTTCAAATGGTAAATTCCTAAGTAATCTCTAGGTGATAAATTTTCTCTAAATTTGACGCAAATAGTGGAATAATTTAGGTGGAATTTTAATTAAAATAATTGTCATATTATTTTCTTACCAAAATAAAGAAATAAAAAGAATTTCTAAATAGGCCCAAATGGTGAAAATTTTAAAAATTCAAAGAAAGAAAAAATATTTTTCATTTGGCCCAAATGGTGGAATAATTAGATATATTTTCAACAAAAAAATAAAGCTAACAAAAATCTTCCGATGACAGAGCCTTTTCAAGATATCAAATGGGATTCTTGAATACTCTTGAGGTGAGGAAGTATTTTTTTAAGAGTTCTACTAGATTGATGGAGAATCTTAAAAATTATTTTCAATATTTAACATAAAATATAAAACAATTAGAACTAAGACCATAGGATAAATTTAAAATAATATGATACCATCCTTTAGATGGGTATGTGGGGGTGCTATAACCTTCCCCACATGTAACTGAACTCCCGAACCTAGTTTTGATTAGTAGACCCAACATATTCTTTTAGGATCCTTAGTCAAGCTTAGGAGATCTTTAAGAGGATAGATTCCTTAGGTGACCAATCACACCTAGAAAAAAAAGATTGGTGGCAACTCCATTCATTTGTTAAATATAGCGATAGATCCCTAGATCTAGATGTTATGACACCAACATTAAGGCATTTCATGAGGCTTCATTTGATGCCTTAAGAAACAATAAGGGCCTATGTGGTAATGCCACTGGACTAATGCATTGTGTCGTCGTTGCTGCTAGTAACAACGTTGGTCATAGAAAAAGCACCAAGGTCATCATTTTCATTGTGCTTTCACTCTTTGGTCTCTTCTTTTACTCTGTATCATGGCTGGAAGTTTCTGTATTCTTTACCAAAAGAATCGAACTAGAAAATCTGAGTCAATGGAGGCAAAACTTGGAGATTTTTCACATTGTGAGGATATAATGGAAGAATACTCTATGAGAACATTATTGAGGGCACTGGAGATTTCAGTTCTAGCAATTGCATTCAAGAGGCTACGGAGCTGTTTATAAAGCTGTGCTACCCATTGCTGAGGTGGTTGCGGTGAAGAAACTTCACCAATATGAAAATAACATAATTTCCAACAACTTGAAAGCCTTTGAAAGCGAGATTCATGCTTTATCAGAAATTAGACGTCGTAACATTGTGAAGCTGTATGGCTTTTGTTCACATCCAAAGTACTTTTTTTTCGTTTATGAGTTTATAGAAAGGGGAAGTTTGAGAATGGTGTTAAGAAATAAGGATGAGGCAATGGAGTTGGATTGGGAGAGGAGGCTAAATGTTGTAAAAAGAGTGGCCAATGCGTTGTCTTATTTGCATCATGACCATTCACCACCTATAATTCATTGAGACATTTCCAGCAATAATGTTCTTCTGGATTTGGACTATGAGGCTCATGTCTCAGATTTTGGCATAGCCAAGCTTTTAAAGCCCGTCTCCTCCAATTGGACCTCACTTGCTGGCACTTTTGGGTACATAGCTCCAGGTATATATTGATCTCTTTTTTTAAGATGTTTTAAACATGTAATCATTGAATTAAAAGTGTTGGTTTTGTGTGCAAATTGATGCGTTAAAACAAAGTTCAAGTAGTATTATGATTGTAACTTTTCAAAATTTAAGTATCAAATTAAGAATTTGACTATAATTCAAGTATCAAATGTGTAATTAATTTTTAAAGTTTGACACTTAATTTTTCAATATTCAATATATCAAATTGATGAACTAAATGCAAAATTTTATATGAACCTTTGAATTTTAATTTTCGAGTAATCTTCTAAACATTCACAATTTCTTTTCAACATGTATTTTATAATCTTTTCAATATTCTTAGATAATCGTGTATTGGTTAGATATATTTGTTGCTTAACAGAGCACATTGATTAGATATATTTCTTTAAGCAAAGTTCATTTATACAATGAAGGTAGATGAGTAATGCAATGTATATAGTTTTGGGATTCTAACAATGGAAGTTCTTATGGGAAGACATCCTGGTGATCTTTTATCATGTTTATCATCATCAGCGTTGGCATCGACGTCGGCATTAGTATCTAATGACCTATAGATTTTACTTAAAGATGCAATAGACCAATGTCTTTCACCACCAGAAAACCAAGTTGCAGAGGATGTAGTATTTACTACAAAGGTAGTGTTTGCATGCTTGAATGACAAACCCCAACTTTGGTCAACCACGCAATAGGTTGCTCAAGCCATTACCAGTCAATAGTTTCCGTGTCCCAATCTTTTCACGATCATCGAATTGGGAGAACTGTTGGTCATGGAGTTTGTGGCTAATTAGGTGCTAACAATTTGGATAATAATTCTTGGCACGAGTATAATTTGCTTTCTCAATCTCCTTCTTTCTCTCCTTTGTATTCAAATGTTTAAGCAATCTTATATATATGTAGTTAAATATTTGATTCACTAATGGTGACATTTCATTAATAAATAAAATTAAAATTAGTCAAATCTTAAAAATAAATTACTTCTTACATATGCAAGGTCAATGGGTTTAATAAAAGCAAATTACTTAAATATAGTAGAGGGAGAATTTAATTAGAAATTAACATAAAAAGAGAGATTAGGGATTTTTTTTTGAGCTTTAGTTTCAGAGTATTGTTGGATGGTAACATTGTTGTATGGAAACTTTTGGTTAAAAGTTTCTTTTCCATTTGTATGAAACATTTTTTGTTTTTGTTTTTTTCTTTTTTGAATTGGAGGTAGGTCAGTGATTATTAGCTAAATGTTCATGTTCAAAAGTTTGGTTTCTTGAAATCATATATTAAAATTGTGTAATAATCCTAAATAAAGGAATTGTGTAAATTAACACTAACAATGAATCTACTATATTTAAAATATTAAAATTTTACTTTGAGTGTGTGAAATGTTGAAATTTCCTTAAGTTTTTATGTAAAATAAGGTTTAATTAATTAAAAAATAATAATATTTTATGATTTCATAAAAATAATATTTTATGATTTCATAAAAATAATATTTTATGATTTCATTTAGATAAACATAAGATGACCGAACCAACATAAGCATGAAAAACAACGAAACTTGAAATGATATTAAGAAAGAAGCCATGATTTGGATAGTTCAAAGGAATATATATTTTATTAATTATTGTAGACACCGATTTTGTTCGGGTCTACTATTTCCATTTTAAGTATATTAATACTAATAATAATAATAATAATAAATAATAATAATAAATATATTAATTAAAAATTAAAAAAAAAGAGAAATAAGACAGAAGTCAAGGGGTTGGTACGGTGCCGTTGTCGCCAGCCCCCGACCAGCCACCGACCAACTACCCTATCAGCCCACCTACAGCCACCCTACAGCCACCAAGATCCCATTTAGAAGCTCCTTAAAATATCCATCCATTTTTCCCCTTTAAACTCTCTTGGAGACCCCCTTTCAGGAAGAGGCTCGAATTCTCTTCAATCACTCGGAACCCCCCCTCTTTTCCAAAATCTCTCTCGAATGCACAGGAACCCGTTCACTTCATCCTACCAAAAATCACCAAATGAGCTACCCTTCCCTCAAAACACTCCCAAACACCCAAAATACCCAAACAGAAACTACACCAACCAAAAAAAAAAAACAAACAAAAAAACAAAAACAAAAAATAACACAGTCATTGTCGAATCGGCGAGGAACCCAGCGCCGAAGCTACCTGCAAAAGCAAAAAAAAATTGCATCAGTCCTGTTTCAACAAAACAAACGAAAAAAAATTTTGAAAGCAGAAACTTTGAGCCCCGATCTACGCTGATCGGGGCTATTTTCGGTGAAAAAGAGATCGGATCTGGAAAGAGGGCAACTAGAGGAGTCTTCGGTGACTTTCTCACCATTTTTTGATCACCGACGACCACCGCCAATGGTGGACCAGACGGCGGCCAACGCGGTGCTCCGACAGTCGGACGGCGACCGGCCGGCAGACCCTCCCCCAGCTCTCTCTCTCCCTTTTTTTTTTTGAAACAGACCAAATGAACAAAAAAAAATTTTCAAGTTATTTATAGAAAAAATTAAAAGCAAAACGACGTCGTTTTGGGCATAGGGCCAAAACGATGCCGTTTCAACTAGGGAGGATCCGCGCGCGCGCCCGTGACCCGACCCGGGATCCACGTAACGACCCGCTGACCCGTTTCCTCCAACAGCTCTGAACGGTTCAATCAAACCGACCCGAATCGCAGATCCAACTGCCGAACTGGTTAGACTGCCCGGACCAGTGTTGACCAGACCGTTGACCGGTCCGATTCAGGTAAAAAAATTATTTTTTTTTGAATTTTCTAATTTTTTTTATATTATTATTTTTGTTATTTTAAATATATTTTTATATTTATGCATGATAAATTTATAAATTTGTTAGAATAAATGTTTAATTGTTTTAATAATAATAAAATTGAAAACGAATAATGGTTAAAAATATATATTAAAAATGTTCAAAAAAAATATTTATTATTATTATTATTATTATTATTATTATTATTATTGTCCCTGCCTAAATGTTGGAGGGAATAAAAATATTTTTCTAAAAATAATTCCGCCTAGATGTTGGGGAATTATTGTTAATAATTTTTTATAAAAAAAATATATATAAGAAAATTTTAATTAGTTTTCAAAAATTATAAAAAATTGAACCTGCTCCGAAAGTCTGCCTAGATGATAGGGATTTTTAGAGATGTTTGCGTTTTACTTAAACCTTTAAATACTAATTTTTAATTTTCCAAAATCCTAAAATCCAAACCCCAAAATCAAAATCCATTAAATCCAAACTCCCCAAAATCCAAAATCCCTGAAATCTAAAGTCCTAAAAATCCTAAAGACACGTGTGAAAATTCTATTTGAAGTAATTTGTTCCCGAATGCCACCTAGATGATGGGGTATTTAGGAAATTTTACTTCGTTAAGTCTTTTCACACGATTTCTTAATTTACATTAATAATAAGATTAATAAATAAAAAGTATAACAGTAAATTGGGATCTTAAATATAAACAGTTGCACCTAAGCTCTGCCTAGATGTTGGAGAGTCGGGGTGGTTTCATTATACTTAAGAATCCAACTCTTAAATTGCATTTCATGTTACATAACATTTATTGACATACATACGTTAGCATGTTATTATCAGTATTTATTTGTACTATTCTGTCTTTAATTAATTTATTTATTTACTACTTAGTGATAAAATATTTTACAATAAAAAAGAATAATACTAAAATTTTTTTTGTGATGTTATAAAATAAAATAAAAATAACATTTCGAAAAAAAATAACTCTTGGTACTTTGCCTAGATGTTGGAGAGTCACCAACAATTTTCTATAAAGAGTGTTATTTCATTTTAAGGATTGTTGTGTTAAATTTTAAGCGAAAAGAGTTATTTCAAATTCTACTTAGATGTTGGAGAATTTCAAGATAATTCTTTAACTTAAAGATTTTCTCAATATTCCTAAATAAAAATTTTGGCAAAAATATTTTTTTAAATGAAAGGAATTAGTGTTAAATTTCAAATTAAAATCATTTTTATCCAACATCGTAAATAGCGTGTAATTAAATGGTACCAATTTATGGGCATTGTGGGGGTGCTAATCCTTCCCCACACATAACCGACTCCCGGACCCAACCTAGTTTTTCATAGGCCGAAATCTATCTTTTCGATAAACTTTAAACCCATTTTTATAGTTTTATTAAAAAGATAAACTTTTGGGTGGCCAATCACACCTTAACAAAGATTGGTGACGACTCCCTCTCTTTTATTTTCTTGATTTTAAAAAACTCATTTTTACGGCGACGGTCCCAAAACCGTTATGACAGCTTGGCGACTCCACTGGGGACTTATTTGAGAGTTAGGCCAAAATTTTAATTATGCGCTATTGACAATGGTTGGATTTAATTGATTTTATTTGATATTTAATTTAATTTCTTTTATTTTTTTTTTTGAAAACAGTCATGTTAATAAATGAAATAAATTATGTGCTAGTTATTACTTCATTTTGATTTTGTTTTTGATTTATTCATGTTATTTTGATTAATACATTACCTTGCACACACTTTGCATATTCACTTGCATACATGAGCTCTATACCCGGGCTCATCCTTTTAGGAGGAAGTGAAGTAGCTACGCTCTCGTGAGGTGATAACCTCCGTATTTGCTAGCAAAACACTTCCACTCAGATTGAATCCTTTTCGTTAATAACCCATAATGGGCGAGGATCGAGGAACCTTACTAGTCTATAATAGGCGATGATGTGAGGAATAGTCTGGGAACCTTTAGACATATAAATCTTAACCCAGCATATCGTGAGCCATAGGAAGCCTGCCTAGGATAGCGTCATGTCACCTTTTTAGAAAATTACCAAAAATTAGGACATTATACGTTATATGGTTGTTATTTTATTTCTCTTACTTGTTTGTTTTGAATTCTCGAGTCATTTTATTATTTTTATTTTATATATTCTTTGATTGTGTGCATTATATTTGAATATATGATATTTATTTTAGGTCAATCATTGAAAAAAAAAAGAAAAAAAAGAGACAAAAGAACATTTTCAAATATTAAAGATTTTTCTTAAATCCTTTGTTTATTGGCTGAATAAAGACTAATTTTCAAACCTTATTTCTTTCTTTCTTCCTTCTCAAAATAAAAAATTTCATATTTTATTTCATCTTTCGCATTTCATACATCATACATGTATCTCACCCCATGTGCATTATAATAGGATAATACGTGCATTCCATCCTATCCATATCAATAGGTAACACATGCATTTTACTTCATGCACATGCATCCCATGCACTTCTTAACAAGTAGTACATGCATTCTATCTCGTTACGTATCTTAAGGCAGTGTTTACCTTATTAAGCCAGCACAACACATGCACTG